TCTATTTCTGGGTTCTCAATTCTCTTCCATTGGCCTGTGTGCCTGCCATTGTACCAGTACCACGCTGTTTGGTTACCACTGTTGTGAGATCAGGGAGTGCTATGCCTCCAACCTCATTTTTGTTTCTCAGAAGTGTTTTGCTCATTCAGGGTCTCATACAGAATGCTTGTGTGCAGTCATGAATGGATTAACCTGAGCTGTTTTCATTCCCTAGAATGCCCAGGAGGGGCCCTGTCCCCCTGCAGCGGCAGGGGCGCTTGTGCTGAAGGCATGGAAGGAAATGGGAGCTGTTCTTGCCAAGTAAGTTCAGAAACGTGGTCTCCCTCTCTGACTCTGCTGCTCCCTTCTGACCGATGGATCCTCCTCGAACACCCACACACTCACACATACACACTCTCTCACAAACACACGCACGAGGTAAAATCTCTAAGAAGCAGCAGGATTAGTGAGAAGAGTATGCCATCTGCAATGAAATGGCCTCATAGAGGCTGGGGAAAAGTCAATTAACTTCTCAGCCTCAACTATGTTGCTGTTGTGCGCTGTCAAGTACAACTCATAGTGACCCCATGAACAAAGGATCTGAACCCTGTTCTGTCCTGTGCCATCCTCTCACTTCCTGACACACAAGAGTCCATTGCAGCAGTCACTGTGTAATTGCGAGGTTGAGGGTCTTCCTCTTCTTTGCCGACCCTCCACCCTTCCCAACATTATGTCCTTCTCCAAGGAACAGCCCCTCCTAGCAACATGCCCAAAGTATGCGAGGTGAAGGCTCATCACTCTTGCTTCCAAGAGCACTCCAGCTGTACCCTCTCCAACACGTATCTGTTTGCTCTCTTGGCTGTCCAGGGAATGTTCAGTGCTTTTCTCCAACACCACAGCTCAATGGCACATCTGTAAAATGAGTTAAATAATAATGCCTAAGCTATAAGGCATTGTTAAAAAATTGAAATGAGATCAAATATGTGAAAATACTTTATCAGAACTATACTAAAAATGACTAGGGATGATAGAAGGAGAATTGATGCCTTAGAGCTGTGGTGCTGGAGAAGAGTCTTGAATATACCATGGTCTGCCAGCAGAACAGTTTCATCCAGGAGAGGGTGAAAACCAGGCTGCTGCAAGGATTCTGAAGCTTCGTCTGACATACTTTGGGCATGTCTCAAGGAGGGACCAGTCCTTGGAGAAGGACATTATGCTTGGGAGGTTCGTGGGACGGCACAAGAGAGGAAGACCCTCGATGAGACGGATTGATTCAGTGACTGGGGTAATGGGATAGGTGTGTCAGAGACAATAAAATCAGCACACAGGGTAGAGCAGGGTTTGGGGCTATTGTACATATAGGGTCGCTATGAGTCACAGGCAACCTGATGACACATAACAACAACATTATACTAAAAATAAACAAAATTTTTAAAACGTCTGCCAGTTGAAGAATGTCTCTGTTATCTCCTGACGGTGATTTTTTGCACACTTTAAGCCATCTCATAAACTACCACTGAGTCAACTCCAACTCCTAGTGACCCTGCGTAGAAGAGATCACAATTCGATGGCACATAACAACAACAATAACACACCATCCCAAAGGCACATAGTTCAATTCTACCAGCTTTCTGTAGAAGAAAGTTGGGTAATCTCCTCCTGTACAATTAAACTGCTCCTGAAAACTCAGGGAAGAGGGAGCTGCAAGTTGATTCTGACTCCACGGTATACAGCAACATATGCGAGTGTGTGTGTACACATATATCTTAATATAATTTTCACATTGTAGTAAATATATAATTGTTTACTTATATATATGTTTTGTTTCTTGGGGATGAATTCCTTGAGAGTGAAAATGAACTCTTTTTTTTTTCAAGGTGAATCTGACTCTTTTTTTTTATTAAATTTTATTAGTTTTGATGAACATTTACAGAGATTTTGGGTTTTCATTCATTCATTGTTGCACTGTTTTCTCCACCCTCATCCCCAGTTCGTTCTTCTTTCCCCCCGCCAATGTCTGTTTTAATTGTCCAATTGCCACAGTGCTTGTCAAAGCCAGTTCTGATTAATCTCCTTTGTCAGTGTGTCCCTTGCCATTCCCTATCACTCCTCCCTGAGAGAGACTTCACCCTGATTCATAAGGAAAAGGGGATGGCGTATTCTCTTAGCTACTTCCTGCTGAAAGGGACGCTGTGGGTTTCAGGGTGAAGATCTTCTCTCACTACTCTAAAGGGCCCCTTTGGCAGTAGGAAACACATAGACTATTATGGAGATTGATTTTGGAATTTAGATGCACTGTTATCAATTGTGCTTAGCCATACGTGTTCATATCCTTGAAGATGTATCATGGAAGTGTTGCAGCCTAGAAGATACAAATTTAACTAACAAGTTAAAAGTGCATGAGTCAAAAATTTAAAGGCAATAATATTCTGAGTAGAGGTTCTAATAGCGGCACAAATCAAGTTACAGAGGTAAGGTGGCTCCATTGCCATCCTTACTGGCTCAAAGAATATGTGGCACAGAATAGGTATTGAATAAACTGTTCCTGGATGACAAAAAAAAAAAAAAACCACGAGATCAAAACCCTGTGTAACCCTGAACCATCTTCGCAATGTGCTTAAGCCCATGGTTGCAGTCACTGTGCCAAGACGTCTCATTGAGGGTGGTTCTCTTTCCCTGACTCTCTCCCTTTCAAAGTCCTGTTCTAAGGACTGAGCCTTCTGATAAACTGTCCAAAGTGTGTGAGATGAAGTCTCGCCTCCCTTGTTGCTGGGGAACAACTCAGATGCACTTGCTCCAAGTAGATTTGCGTGTTCTCTGGGCCGTCCATGGGATGGACAGTACTCTTGGCCAACACTGCCATTCCAAGGCATCAGTTCTTCTTCAGTAGACTCAATACTAAGGAAGAAGCTCTTCCTCAGTCATGTTTAAAGGCATTACAACCTGAGAGGTTCATCTTCTATCGCTGTATCAGACAATGTCCCAGCATTATTCACAGGGGTTTGGAGGGCCTGTTATCTGAGAAGTGGATTTCAGCCCTGCTTCCTGGTCTGTATTAGTCTGGAAGCTCTGCATAAACCTATTCACCACGGGTGGATCCTGTTGGTATTTGAAATGCCGGTGACAGAGCTTTCAGCATTACAGCAATATGCAAACCCCACTACTGCAAACTGACAGACAAATGGTGGCTCAAGGCTCAGGTGATTTAAGCACCAAGAAAGCCTGGGGAAAGAAATGCAAAACTGAAAGGGCCTTCACCCTTGGACAATGTGCTACTTCTCGTGTAATCCTCTTTGTACCTTTGAACTAATGAAGCTGCAGATCTCCAGATCCTCAGTATGAGACATGGGTATTAAGGTCTGGACACTATAGCACTGAAGCAGCCAAGAATAAATGAAGAAACAGAAATGAAGAAGAGCACCAAGAGGGAGTATTTGAGAAACAAAAGCAGAGTAGATAAATCAGAGAGACACCAGAGGGCTTCCCGCCTAACAGACAGCCTTTGGCGTCATCGTTATCTCTCTGATGTGTTTTGCAGGAAGGATTTGGTGGAACAGCCTGTGAAAGTTGTGCTGATGACAACTTATTTGGGCCAAGCTGTTCATCAGGTATGTCTCTGGGTTCTGTGTAATTGATACCTTTGGAAGGGTGGCAAGTCAAATGGGGTTTACATGACCAAAGGGCCCAGCCAGAGACACTTCCTTGAGGGACAGCTCTGAACTGTGTTTGTGTTAATGGAGACTCTTGGTGACCCCATTGGGCAGAAAGGAGCTGCCTCGTGGGGTTCCCAACACCAGAGTCTTTACAGAAGCAGAGCTCATGTCTTTCTCTTTTGGTGAGTAGCCAAGCTGTGCAAACACTGCCCCACTAGCGATCCTAACCAAACCCTCACAGGCAAAATAGAAGCTTGACAGCCATTCCAAAGTAATGCAGTCATTGAGAGGAGAGGGCACATTTTCTGCATCCAGCTGCTCATTGGTCTTGAGCGCTTGCTCACCGGCAGTGCCTGCTGGCATGTTGCTGTTGTTGTTGTTGTTGTTGTTAGTTTCCTCCAAGTCACTTCTGAATCATGATGACCCCCAGGGGTTACAGAGTAGGACTACTCCATGGGGACTTCTTGGCTATAATTATAACAAAAAGAAGGTTTCCAGGCCTTTCTTCCATGGCACAGGGAGTCAATCCAAATCGCCACCCTTTAGATTAGCAGTAGAGCACAATCTACTTCGCCGAACTTGGGCACATATGATCTCTTCTCTCCAGGCTCCAGGACCCAAGCAGTCAGTAGTTCCTCTAGCAGCTTCTCTCTGAGGTCCTTCTGGATCTGAATCTAACTACAAATCTTCAGTCAGAGATCTCAACATCTCTCTTAGTCCTTCAACATTCTGATTTCTCTTTTCCTTTTAAAAGTTCACAAATTAATAACCTACCATGGCCACAAATTGCTGGTTTCATTTACAGGTTCAAAAAAACTCACAAATAACACACTTGAAATTGGAGAGACAAAGCAGCGGGCCGATTCTTTGAGTTTTGCTTTCTCCCAGACACAGACCCCAAGACAAGAATTTGAGTGAAAGTCATTTATTTTGGTGGTGATACCAGGAAGCACTAAGGGAGTGTGGAGGGATGTGAAGCAGGGAAAACAGTGGTATCTATCCTAGACCACTGTGTGCAGATGGGCATTCTGGGAGCCAGTGAAGAGTACATGACTTGGAATTAGCTCCACTGAAGGACGAAGGAGACACAGTGTGGTTATCAGAACCTGTAAGTATTCAAGAAGGCGTCCTGGTAATTCAACAATAACATACCACTGCCAGCTGAGAGGTTTGACAGTTCAAACACATCCATAGGAGAAAGATCTGGTGATCTGCTTCCATAAACATTACAGCTTAGAAAACCCTATGAGGCAATTCTACTCCGTCACATGGGGTAGCTAGGAATTGAAACTGACTCAGTAACACCTAGCAACAACAATGATGTCCCTGAATCTCCATGAAAGATTATTTCAAAATAGCATTAGTAAAAGAAATTATAAGATCAAAGTCAGGATTCTGAATGTTTCTAAGATTTTTACATTCATGCTGCCAGGGTGAAGGGATACCACAAGAAAGAAGACCCTCTATGAGATGGATTGATTCAGTGATTGGGATAATGCGGGTAGGTGTGTCGGTGACAATAAGTTTGGCACAGGCTAAAGCAGGGTTCAGAGCTGTTATACATAGGGTCAGTCTGAGTCGCAAGTGACTTGATGGCACAAAACAACAGTAACAATATAAAATACAATGACACCAAATGCAAAAAGAGTAAGTGTCACATAGGGATGGCCAATATCTGACCTTTATCAACTCTAAATAGGGAACTGTCCCCTTCAACAACATCAACAAAGAAAACCAAACTGTAAAATTCAATACATACAAATTTTGTATGCAAACCAATATAAAAGAAATTTTAAAAAACACAACACTAAATCAATTCCATAAGGTCAGACATGTTTCTAACTCCTACACTTCTTTCTACTCATCCCAAAACTAATCTTGTTGCTTTACTGGGTCAAAAATACAATGCAATGGCTCACAGACGACACGGAACCATATTAGGGAAGGCAAAAGACTACAATTCAGATTGACAGCAAAATACAATCATTCAGTCAGAACAGCTTCCAAAATGTGCTCACAGACACTTTAGGCTTGAGCCTCACAGCTTTAAGCTAGTATTACAAAGCTCTCAGTCCTGCCAACTAAGACTCCCCACTCTAAGTCCTCCAGAATACTTGGGCAAAAGGCTCTTAGCTCTGGTTCAATGGCATAATAGTCCCAAGGTCTGCTCCCTCTCATGTCAGGTCTCTGGTTCTCTGCTATGGTTGCGATGGCTATTGTTTCTATAGGCCCTAGCCTGACTGGTGCACAGATTTCCAGGTCAAAGAAGGTGCTGCGTTCTCTTACTTCTACTTTGGTGCTGGTAGAGATCCTCCAATTCTGCTGCTGGATCCGCTCAATTTAATGGCAAGATTAGCCAATCCCCTTGTGGATAGACTAACATGCCTTCTTAGCATATTCTCGCCCATTTACATGGCAAAGTAAGTCCACGTTTAGCGCAGTTATTTTCATCAATAAACCCTTAACCCCCCACCAAAAAATTACAGATGCTAAAAATAGTGTCTCTTTCTAAATTAGGAGCCCTGGTGTGTAATGTGTCAGGCTGCAACAAGAGATATATGATTCAAATCTGTCAGCTGTCCACAAGGGGAAAAAAAAATAATCTCCTCCAAGGCTCAGAAACTCAAAGGAAGGTTGCTGTGAGGCAGAAACAACTTGACAGCAGTGGGCTGAGTTTGAATTTTTCTTTTAACTTTTAATAATATTGGCATTTAAAACATATATTTTAAATAAATATTGAAACTTGGGGGTGGGGAGGGAAGAAATAAGCATCCAGGATTGTTTACTTTCTAAGAAAGTTGGGGTAAAAAAATTACAAGGAAGATGACCCATGTGTCACCTCCAAAAAACCAAAATCCATTAATGATATGTGCAGATATGTGTGGGGATTCCAAACATTCTTAAATAAAGCGGCCCACCTCCACTCACTTGTACGAAGGGGAAAGGGTAAGTGAAAAAGATAATTCAAAAACCTAAAAGATTTTTTAAAAATGGAAATTGAAAATAAGCAGAGGAGGGAAACTCTCCAAGTTCTAGATTCTGATAGGACATTCCATGGGGCTAGGAACCTTCTGTATCTGAGCTATCCAACATGGCAGCTATCAGCCACACATAGCAATTGAGCTTTGAAATGTAGGTAAGGCAACTGAGAAACTGAATCGTAAATTGTACTGTTTTACTACTTAATAAAAAACTTTAATAGCAACACGCAGATAGTGACTACTGTATGGGACAGCCCAGCTCTTAGGCATGATGGTTAAGAGAGTAGCTTTCACAATCAGACTGGAAACCACCTTCAGTTGCCATGTGACCTAGAGCAAGGTATATATATATCTGTTCAAAGCCCTCCTCATCCGAACACGGGAATAATCCCTACTCCCAGGCAGATGCACAGGAAAGCTCCTAGCACCATGTCAGAAGCATTCAGTGGAAATGAGAGTTAAGTGAGGAAAATAAGAAAGTGCCTACTTCTCACATACTTTGGGCATGTGGTCGGCAGAGACCGGTCCTTCGTGAAGGACATCGTGCTCAGAAGGGCAGAGGGACAGTGTGCGAGAGGAAAATCCTGGATGAGATGGATTAATACAGTAACTGGAGCAATGGGGTTTGGTGTCAGAATCAATGCGACTGGCTCAGAACAGCGCAGGTTTCAGAGCTGCTGTACATTGGGTTGTTATGAGTCGCAGGCGACTTGAAGGCACATAACAATCACAGCAGCATAATGAACAAGTGAACAAAGGACTAAGGAGACTTGCAAGCTTTTCAGCCAGGTGTCCACTGGGTGCCAGTGTTTCATCCAAATGAAGAGTTGGTCCTAAAGAGGCAGCACTTGCGAATCTAAGTAGGACAGCTCTATCAGTTGCAGTTTATTTTTGCCACTGACTTTAACCTGCTGTGAAGCATGATTTTACTGTTGACACGTTTAGAGATGATTCAGAGCTTCAGCAGCCGGGGGCGTCATACATCCTGTCACATGCTCTGGCTGGCTTAGTGCCTTGCTCCCAACAAAAAGAGTGTGTCCCCCCAAAAGAAAGAGTGTCCGCTAGTTAGGACAGAATGCAAAGCCCATTCCCCTTCTCTAACATGACCATCAATCAATAACTCCCACTACCATGTGTTGTTAGTACCAACAGCTAGCACCTAATGAACTCTTACTGGGTGCATACAGGGCAATGCAAAGCATGCACGCATGATCTCTTTTGGATTCGCACCTCTTGAAGCTGGGGGCTTCCAGCTTTGTGGATAAAGAAACAGAGAGTGACCGGGTCATTCAGCTATTCTAAAGGCAAAGGCATGATTTGACCCTGGGTCTGTTGGACTCTGAGCCTGGATCTCTAACTAGTACACCATTCTACAGCTGGTGGACTTTGCCAGCAGGATCACTCAGGGTGGACATCTTAGGCCCTTGACAGACAGAGTCCCCTAAGCTGGACAACATTAGGTTTCTGCTGCTCGCAAGAAGCCAAAAGTATGGGAAATAAGAATGATTTTCTGTGTACACAAAAAGAAGATCTAGTGATACAGTGCCTAAATGTTTGAGACTGCTAACTGAAAGGTTGGTGGCTCGAACCCACAATCCATGGGAGAAAGATGTGGCAGTCTGCTTACATACAGATAGAGTCTTAAAGACTCTGTGAGGCAGTTCCATTCGGTCCTCTTGGGTCCCCATTAGTCAGAACCAACTTGACACAATAGATTTGGTTTGTGTACTCTTTTTATTGGGGCGCTCTGGTGGCCTGGTAAGGAGTTGCACTGCCAATCCAAGGCACACTATTCCAATTCACCAGATGTCCTGCAGGAGAAAAATGGACCATCTCTTCCGGTGTAATTTAGAACCTCTGAAAACCCACCAAAGGGTCAGTTATGAGTTGATTCCAACTTGACGGCAAATAAAAACAACAACATCCAAAAAAAACAACCCCCCCCAAAAAATCCCATCCTTTTTATTTCTTCCC